GTGGATGTCGTGCACCCCCGCGGGCGGCGCGCGCGTGGGGCCGGCGGAGTGGGGAGCGGATGCGGCGCGCCCTGGGCTCGGCGCCCGGGCTGGATGGAGGGCCGGCCTCGGGGCACGCCCCTGCCCTCGCCAGGGCCCCCGCAGCCTGGGGCTGGGGGCTTGGCTGTGCCTCCCTGGCAGGGCGGGTTTGTTTGCTCTCCCCACCCCTCTCGCCGCCCGCACCCTCTTCCTAGCAGCCCCATTCACCGGGCTGCAGCGAGCCCTCGCCCCTCCTCCGCTCCCTCCTCCCCCGCCGCCGCCGCCGCCTCTAATGAGCATCTCTGGCTTGCTTTCAATGGGCCGGTGCTGCTGTCGCTGCTGCTGTCCGCGCGGGTTGTGGATGTTGTCGGCTCCGTGTTGTGATGACAGGAGAATGTGTGTGTGTCCCGGGCCCAGACGAATTGGTAGGTATTCACCTAACTACCTGCGTGGGATACCCAGAAAGGATGCTGGCTAGTTTCGTTTGTGGTTCGTATAGGTGGTTTGGCGCGGCTTTAACGGGTGAGGTAGATAGGAAACGGAGACAAAGGCTGGGGTAGCATGGATGGTTCTGGGAATGCAGTTTTTTTCTGGTGGGGACAAAGAAAACGAATCAAACAAGTGCTGGCTTGGTGCTGCTTGTCCTGCGAAGGAAACCGGTTGTTTTCTTACCACGTTCACAGGAGCTATGCGAGAAACGGCTCGGAAATGCTGAAAATATACAGAGAATCTCTATGCCGGGTGTTTAATGCAAGCGGATTACATAAACGGGAGTTCTTATACGTTTAAGGACAAGTATAACATTTCTTTTTGGTTTACCCCCAAAGCTGTGCAGAACTAAAGAGCGCCAGCGTAGGTGCCGTGACTGCATTTTCTAATTAATTTGGCCCGCGGATTTATTGATGAAGTGGAGGCATTTCTTGGCACGGGCTCCCTGGAGCCCAATCACTAAGAAACCATCACTAAGGAAGGATGAGTTTGCGTCCCTGTTTCTGGTCGCCGCGCATCTTCATTAATCATCTGGCAAAATCTGCCTCGGACCAAGATGCTGCATCCGATGTGGCTGCGCTCAGTCTTGAGTAGTAACTTGTTCCTGAAGCGGTGGTCAGAAATAACTTGGGGGGGGGGGGGGCCGGGGCGGGTTTGACACTGCACCAGTTTGCAAACAACGAGCTGTTCCTTGTTGCTGTTTAATTGCTGAATCGGGAGCCTTCTACTTCATTAATTTAACAAGTTTGTTGTCAGCAAAAGTTTGCTTTCATAGGGTGGTTTTGATTGTAGAATCGCAGGATAGAAATATTGTCAGGTTTTGAACGCTCACTGTTTATGAAAGCACTTGAAAAGACTGGCTTCTGAGGATCTCTGGCCTGGTGGAGTGAAGATATGGCTTGTACCAGGGATGATGATTCTCATTAATCACAGAGCAGGATTTCCATGGATCCCAGCTTCTCTAAGAGTTTGTCATTTGAAGGCATGTTGGGAGTTGGAGGATTGGGATAGAGTATCAGTTCAGCTGTTGGGCCTCTGAAAGATGAGTCGATCAAATTTACACTTCATTTTCTTTGTTGTTTTTAATCTTGAGAATTTTTGCCTTGAAGGAAAAATGTAATTTATTATTTGAGTCGTTTGCTTTTGGATTGAACTGTGCTCAAATCATTCATTCTTTTGCCAGAAGATTTCATTCATTTTGTAGTTAACTACACAAGTTTTTAAAAAAGCATTAAAATGTGAATTTCAGGAAAGTGCAGGTTTCCTGGATTTGTTACACCTCAATTGGGCTGTCATATAATCAACTCCTACATGTGTTTTTTTTTTTTATCATACTTCCTCGCAAAGTACACACACACACACACACACACACACCCCTTTGGTACAGTCTGTATTCCACATGTACAGGCAGAAATGCTTTTGTTTCCTGTAACTTTGTTAAGTTTGGAAGTCAAGACAAATGCAAACATCTAAAGTTGGGGGGAAATGTTATTTTCCCTCAGTCTAGTGTGTTTACATTTTTGACTATACAACAGCTTTGGACAAAGCATAGAATGAGTTGGTAAGCTGTCAACTTGCAGACCTGAAAAGTGATGTGGTTTATATCTGGAAGGCAGTGTCATGTGGCTCCACATTTGAGCACATCCCCTGGCTTGGGCACGTACACTTGCTTCACCTTTGGATGACTTTCTTAGTTTGGAGTGCTTTTATTTAGGTGGATCTTCCTGACGGATGCCTGTTCTTCTGGAATTTCTGTTTTGCAAAAGGAAATACTTCAGGTTGATTTTAGTTATGATTCTTATTTCCAGAAGCCTAGCCAGCACCTTTTACTGTTGAATCTTCTTTCCGTGCTAGTCAGGGGAACTCTGCCCTTGAAAAAGGGCGATGGCTGACTTGCTTAGTGCTTACTTCAGAAACCAACAAGATCAGTGACCAGCCAGTGTTTGGTTTTCTCTGCTCCCTACCCCCACCCCACTTGCCATTTCCTCTTCAAAAAAAAGGATAGGTAGCTAATGCTAATACATAGCTAACACTGATGATACAGGGTTGTTGTTTTTTGTTTTTTTTTCTCCTTGCTGGATTGAATTTTGAGAAGGATTAATTGGTCTTAAATGATTTAATTTCCTTTTCATTTGCTGCATTTATTTTCTTGTTTAATGTATCTCTAAAACATTCTCTATAGGCCAACCAGGATACTTTGAGGCAATACCTTGAAGATTCAGGGAAAATATGTTATTGAGGAAGATGGGAGTATGTATGTGTAATTTACCAGGATTACTGATGAAAATTCTTCAAGTGTTCATTATTGCCCAGAAAAATATTTGCAGTGTTATATCATGAATGATAATCAGTTTTTAAATTCATGATTAAGCTGCATGTTAAAAATTTAGCATTAAACTATTATTCTTTTATTCATTTATTTTCAGGGACAAATATCTTTATTTTAATGTAAAATATTTTTCTAGAAGAGATATATACTTAAGATCAATAGCAAGTGAAAATATTCCTATAGCTTTTCCAAAGCTAGGAAGTAAATGAAATTCCAGAACTGATACTATATACATTATTTTTTTATTTTTTTAACATTTTATTAGGGGCTCATACAACTGTTATCCCAATCCATACACACATCAATTGTGTAGAGCGCATTTGTACATCGTTTCTCAAAACATTTTCTCTCCACTTAAACCCCCGACATTAGGTCCTCATTTTTCCCCTCCCTCCCCGCTCCCCCCTCCCTCATGAGCCCTTGATAGTTTATAAATGGGTATTTTGTCATATCTTGCCCTGTCCGACGTCTCCCTTCATCCACTTTTTGGCTGTCTGTCCCCTAGGGAGGAGGTTACACACAGTTCCATGTAATCGGTTCCCTCTTTCCTACCCATTCTCCCTTTACCCTCCCTGTTTCGCCACTCACTATATACATTATTAACAAAGTTTTAGAATTACTAGATTATTTATTTTGCTTTTAAATCATGAAGGACACAGTAAAATTACAGTGACTAAGTGAATCCTGCATTTGAGTTAGAGACACACACAAAATCAAACCGTATAAAATATACAATATTGGAAGAAGCGCTGGACGGCATCTACTCTGATGGATTCACTTAAATTTGGGATGCTGAGGTTCAAAAAGGTGGCAGGATTTCCAGGATTATTTGGTGAGTTGGCGGCAGACCTGACTCACTTGGTGGGCCAGTTTGGTGCAGTGGTCAAGGAAAGCAGGGTTTGCTAGACCAGCCACAGGCAGGGAGGGAATCATTGGAATTTCTGTTGCTGTTTCATTGTCTAAAATGTGTTTTTTTCTGTTTGTGTTATGAACACAGTAGGTTATGTATGATATTCGCAAATAAACACAAGCTAGAGCTGCACCTTGACACTTTCATGGATTTCCTGAGAGCCACTTCCCTTCAGATGCTAATGCTGGACCTAGGATCGAGAAACAGGATCTTGATAAATAGGAGAATGCCTTTTGTAATGTGGGAGATCCAAGGCCTCTTCTAAGGGTAGGAAAGGAGAAGGATGATTGGCCAGGTAGACTGCTGTTTCAAAGTGTTATTATATAACCTTCATCTCCTCTCCTTTCCCTAGCCACATTTATTGTACATTCTGCACAGCTTGTACTGCACAAAGAAATACGAAGAAAAAAGAAAAGTGCTGCTAGATCACGGCTCAGGACTGGCTCCCTAAAAGATTGAGAGTTGCACTTAGAATCACGTATTATACTCAAGTATAAGCCGACCTGAATATCAGCCGAGGCACCCAATTTTACCACAACAACTGCATTAAATATGTGTTGAAAAACTCGGCTTATACAAGAGTATACACGGTAGATCTTGTGGAAATGACACATGGATAAAACACAGTGCCTCCTAACCTGGGACCTAGTGTGTATGTAGGTTTACCTGGTGAATATTTTTCAAAAGCCGGGATAAATGATGTGATCTCAATGGTAACTATTTCTCTGTGTGCATCTGTCTAATTTGCTGTCTAGGACTCCCAGTCAGAAGTTCCAGCCTGCCGCTGTTTGCTGATGCCATGCCACCACCAACTCAACTGGTTTTCCCCCTGCTCCGGAACTGTGAACTGAGCAGGATCTACGGCACGGTGTGTTACTGCCATCACAAGCACTTCTGCTGCTCATCACCCCATGGTCCTCAGAGTCGCCTGAGATACACACCCCACCCAGCGTATGCCACCTTTTGCAGGCCGAAGGAGAACTGGTGGCAGTACACCCAAGGGAGAAAATACGCTTCCACGCCGCAGAAATTTTACCTCACACCTCCACAGGTGAACAGCATTCTTAAAGCTAATGAATACAGCTTCAAAGTGCCAGAATTTGATGGCAAAAATGTTAGTTCTATCCTTGGGTTTGACAGCAACCAGCTACCTGCAAATGCTCCTATCGAGGACCGGAGAAGTGCAGCAACCTGCCTGCAGACCAGAGGGATGCTTTTGGGGGTTTTTGATGGCCATGCCGGCTGTGCCTGTTCCCAGGCAGTCAGTGAAAGACTCTTTTATTATATCGCCGTCTCTTTGTTGCCCTATGAGACCTTGCTGGAGATTGAAAATGCAGTGGAGAGTGGGCGAGCACTGCTGCCCATTCTCCAGTGGCACAAGCACCCTAATGATTACTTCAGCAAGGAGGCCTCTAAATTGTACTTCAACAGCCTTAGGACTTACTGGCAAGAGCTTATAGACCTTAACACGGGGGAGTCAGCTGATGTTGATGTTAAGGAGGCTTTAATTAACGCCTTCAAGAGACTTGATAATGACATCTCCTTGGAGGCCCAAGTCGGGGATCCCAGTTCTTTCCTCAACTACCTGGTGCTTCGAGTGGCCTTTTCAGGGGCTACTGCTTGTGTGGCCCATGTGGATGGCGTTGACCTTCATGTGGCTAATACAGGGGATAGCAGAGCCATGCTGGGTGTGCAGGAAGAAGATGGGTCTTGGTCAGCAGTCACACTCTCTCATGACCACAATGCTCAGAATCAAAGCGAACTGGAACGACTGAAATTGGAACACCCGAAGAATGAGGCCAAGAGTGTGGTGAAACAGGATCGGTTGCTGGGCTTGCTGATGCCGTTTAGGGCTTTTGGAGACGTCAAGTTCAAATGGAGCATTGACCTTCAAAAGAGAGTGATAGAATCTGGCCCAGACCAGATGAATGACAATGAATATACCAAGTTTATCCCTCCTAATTATTACACACCTCCGTATCTCACTGCTGAGCCGGAGGTAACTTACCACCGGTTGAGGCCACAGGATAAGTTTCTGGTGTTGGCTACTGACGGGTTGTGGGAGACTATGCATAGGCAGGATGTGGTTAGAATTGTGGGTGAGTATCTAACTGGCATGCATCACCAACAGCCAATAGCTGTTGGTGGCTATAAAGTGACTCTAGGACAGATGCATGGCCTTTTAACAGAAAGGCGAGCCAAGATGTCCTCGGTGTTCGAGGATCAGAATGCAGCCACCCATCTCATTCGCCATGCTGTGGGCAACAACGAGTTTGGAACAGTAGATCATGAACGTCTCTCCAAAATGCTTAGTCTTCCTGAAGAGCTTGCTCGGATGTATAGAGATGACATTACAATCATCATTGTTCAGTTCAATTCTCATGTTGTGGGGGCATATCAAAATCCAGAACAGTGAGTGGGCCCTGCCCTGGCATGTCTCAAATTCCATTTAAAGGGCTGAGAGGTTGAAAGAGGTGATCATACCATTACCAGTGGGTCTTTCTAAGCATTTGCCCATTTGCTACTCTAGCTCTATCAAGTACTCCAAATTGACTGCAGCAGGGTGGCAAGATCACAAGGATCTGACTCTGCCCAGCTCAGACCTCCCAGCACCTGTTTATGAGTATACTGAGTTTGTGAATATGGTGCTCCTTATTGTGGGTGTCTCCAAACATTGGAGTTTACCAAATCCGAGAAAGTCGGGATGACTGGGCAAGTAGGACTTTGAATAGGTCAAAAGCAAATGTCTTACTGAACATACGTTCTCGGTAAAAGGGAAGAAACATCACTATTCACACTTGCACTCCCCTTTCTTCACTAAGAGTGGGATGTACCCGGTAACATTTATTTATTGCATGACTTCCTAGATACATAATCTATGCATTAACCATCTGAATTTGTTTTAGCCTGCAATGGTTTTCCAGTCCAATACTTAAGCCATAAATGACCAAGAACCAAGCAGTCTGAATGTGTTCAGTTTTGTGGTGATCCCACTAAAACACTTCTTACTTGGAAGAACAAACTCTTGCTCCCGTCCCCACCCCTAGGTTCCTCATGTGTGTAAGCGTTTTCTGTGCCACACACTTGAAAACAAAGATTTTTAATTTTATCTACTCTTATGCTAAATAAAAAGCATTTTTTGTTTGTACTAATGAAAAGCTTTATTTAGTTTGAAATTAAAAGATGTAGAGTAAGAAGGGGCTATTGGTATGTTCCATTAATGCTTTCAGTAGCCACCAACATATCTCTCACCATACAATTCCCAATGGCTTTGCGTACTGTGCATGTCGGGTAGGTAGACGGCTGTTGGAAAACATTCTAATTTATTAGTGATAACAATTTTTTCCCTTTTTTGGAGGTTTAAGGATGATACACAACACTAAATATCAGTTGTGGGTTTAATATTTAATATTACCAGTAAGTATTGAGAAGCAGGGAGGAAGTTTTTATTTTTACCCCTAGGTCAATTAAAGTATTTGGTTTAAAAATTACTAAGTGCTTTAACCATATTGTAGCTTATAAGTAGGAATATAAGATAATTTGTGAGAAAATTAAAAAGGTAACTATTGTGCATGCCTGATGCTTAAATAGAACATGTAATGGCATCATGTAGTGTCTGCAGCAGCCTCCCTAATTATATGCAATTTTTTCTAGACACTATCAAAATGTACATGAAAATAAATATATTCAAATTGTTTTGGGGGGGAGCTTATTTGATATGTATCAAATGGCATTTTGTTCCTGTGTTTAATGGTGATCTGTGTACAGGTGTGCATATATTTTCTTAGCTTATTCTAACATCACTGTTTAAGAAACTGATACTCATATAGATTTTAATAAACAAAAATCAACTTTCTGTGGTATAATTAATGAGGGGATGCTTAGAAATCCTTTCAGATTTTGTGTAGAATCTGAGTTCAAGGGCTCCCTCTGGCTGTAGATATCGAGGGCAGTGCATTACTGACTGCTGAGTTTGTCCCAATTGAATAGACTCAGGAAGATTGCAGCTCAGAACATCATATAATGTTTGGCTACCGAGTTTTATCTTTATTTTTTTAAGTCAGCTTGGGACTTTTTTTCCAGGCAATATTTTAGAAGGGAAAGGTTATACTGTATATTTACCGTTAGATGTTTCGACAGCCTTCATCTTTTGACAAAATCTATATGGACTGCAGTAGCAATGAAACCCCCTTTCAAGCTGCTATTTGAATTTTCCCCGGAACTGAAGCCCTCCATAGTCTTAATAAGGTCTCATCTGTATCACAGTATGTATACATTGGGTGTCTTGGCATGATCAAGATAACTCTTAATGAAAAGGAAACTTGCTGTGTAGTTTGAAAGCTGGTCCACTCCATAAGAATGACAGTACACAGTGTGGATGTTGTCATTGTGAAAATGGGCATAACTGGGGCCGAGAAATCCCCAAATACTATCTTCTAAAAGCAATTGTAATTTTATGTAAATGGTTGTCACTGTGATGCAATAACTAGATTTAAAGAATACATGTAAACTTTCATGGTGGTTAGTCAATGTTTTTTTTTTTTTTTGTTTAACTGTAGCACATGCATTTGATTTTTGTATTTATATTTAGTCAGTGATTCATGGTATTTATAATACTCTCCCATAACTTGTTAAACCTGGAATATTGCTAAGGTACACAGTCTTTGGTAGGAAAACTGTCTTATAAAAGATGTGTTTGTTTGTTTGTAGGCATTTCTGTATGTATATAATAAAGAGAATGGTCATGGAAATGCCCACAGTGAATTAAAGCTTTGTTAACTATCTGCTTTCTGAGTGCCTGTATTTTTCATGATAAATTAGATGATTTCTCGAGTAGTATATTTAACTTAAGGATCCAGTAGGCAAGCAGTAAAAAAGGTTTTTGTTTGGTTTGTTTAATTGATCTGAGTATTACTTTCAACAAAATATAGAGGTTTTTAGTGTTGAATTTTAGTAACCACTATTATAAAAATATTAATTCTATTGCCCCAGGAAATAGCTTTATGCCCCTTTCTACTAAATCTCTTTTAACTTTTAGACCTTCATATAAATGGAATCATAGGTACTTTTGTATCTGGGTTTTGCTCAGCTGTGTTTTGAGATTCCCTCATGAACATAGCCTGGTCTTACTAAATAGCATTCTATTGTATGAGTATTTCACAATTTAGCTATTTTCTACGGAGGAACCTTATTAATCCTCCTTTTAAAAAAGTAGGTTAGGAATTCTCAAGAATGCTATTCAGTTGAGGTGTATATTTAACTCTATGTATACGTGAATTTTACACTCAGTGATGGGACTATTTGTTAATTGCCTTAAATTGATGGGCATTTTCAAGGTGAAAAAATGTCAGTTACAGAATGGTCCTTTATTATTGTTTAAATCTGTCCCACTGACAATTTTGGAAGTTTACTAAGATTAAAATGGTGGTTGTATTGAAGAAAAAGGCAAACTATAGGATAGTTTCTTCTGCTCTTGGCTTACACTGTATTGGCTATTGTAATGAGAGATGAGGAAAGAGGTAGGTATTTAGATGCTGTTAAATTAGGACAGGCGTGGTGACTTGGATATTTCTGCTTTTATTAAGGAAAACATTGTCTGTAATGAGCTTCCCAGATGGGTTTACTGATCAAACATACTTGAACATGGGTATTGTTAGCTTTGTCCTTGGGTGGAGCAACAGTCCAGGTCACTTTTCCTTAGTTTTTACGTCAGCATTCCTTCATTTAGATCCTTTTTATAAATAATAAAGCGGATTTTCACTTATTGGGAAGCTGAACCTTGCTAACATCGGTGCCACAGTGCCATGATGGCTTTCTGGGCACGCGGAGTAAATGAAGACGTCTCCAGAGGCACCTGAATTGGCTTGTTACACTAAGCGTGAAGGTCATTTTCTGTGTTCCTTTCTGAATTTAAAAGCCAAGTATAATCCTACTCAATCCTACCTAACCGGATTCTTGTGACACTTAAATTTACACCCTGGATTGAATGATGAAATACACTGCGTTGTTATTTCAATAGCTCTCAAATTACAAATCATCAGAGTGAATATATGAAAACTGATGAAATCCATGTATTTCATGCGGCATTAATGATTATCCAGTGCACATATTTTAAGAACCACCCATGTTAATCTCAGTTATTTGGCTAATATTTAGATTGACCAAAATTCGTGATCTTAATAGTTTTTGAACATATCATTTATCCATCAAAATCTTCAATCCTTTAAGGACTGTCAGTAGTACCCCTTGGTTTTGTGTCTCTGTGCTAGCACAAAGTTTAATTAAAAATACAAAGCGTAGAAATGAACTTTTAGAATATACTCAATTAATGACAGGTCAATATGTGAAAATGGAGTGTGATCACATCAAATCACAATGGAGGATGCAGACATCTGGATAACTGACCAATCACATCATCACGTAACTGCCGAGCCACTGAGCATAACGGCACATAGCCCTAAGCGTCACAGCCAGCATTGCTATTGTATAGCACACAAACATTCATTCCTGAACGATGTCTGTCATTCATGTGCAAAATATTCATAGAGTTTTCACTAATGCAAATATGAACTGTCAACCAGAGGGTAGTGTGTGCCCTCCAGAGAGAGGTATTGCCTGCTTCGGGGAACAATGGTGCACATCCTACCTTTGTCAGAAGTCAGCATCTCGATTCAGATACCAAGACATTTATTCCTGTACGTAGTTTAATTTTATAGTTAAGCTAAATGAACTTGATAGGTGCCACTGAGTCAATTCTGATTCAGTGAGCTACGTACAACAGAATGAAATACTGGCCCTATGCCCTTCTCACAAACATTACTATCGAGTCCATCGTTAACAGATATCTATTGTGCATCTTGAGGGTCTTTCTTTTGCTGACCCCTTATTTTACTAAGCATGATATTCCTCTTTACTAAGCAAGGACTGCTCCCTTCTAATAACGTGGCCAAAGTACTTGAGACAAAGTCTCACCAGCCTCAAATTTCAGTGAGTACATTAGCTAGGTTTTTTTCCAAGACAGATTTGTTCATTCTTTTGGTAACCCATAGTTTATTCCATATCGCCAATGCCAAAATCAAATGATCAAATGATTCTTTGGTTTTCCTTATTCATTGTCAAGCTTTTGTATGCATAGGAGATGATTGAAAACACTGGCATGGGTCAGGGGCACCTTAGTCCTCAGAGTGACATCTTTGCTTTTTAACACTAAAGTCGTTTGCAGCGGATTTGCTCAATATGTCATTTGATTCTTCAAGCTGCTTCCGTGGACATTGTGGTTCCATTTAAACCCCCTGCCTCTTCGAACTTTTCTCCATCTATCACGATGTCACCATTTGTGAAGATTTTTCTTTTCTCCATGTTAAGATGTAGTCCATACTGAAAGGTATGTTGTTGTTTCATCGTCATCAGTAAGTGCTTCAAGTCCTCTCGACTTTCAACAGGTAAGGTTGTGTCATCTGCATGTGTCAGGTTATTAAGGATTCTTCCTCCAATTCTGATGCCATGACCTTCTTGATAGAACCTAGCTTTTCAGTATTTTCTCCCCTTACAGACTGAAGAAGTATGAACGAATACAGCCTTGATGTGCTCTTTTCTTGGTTTTAACCCTGCAGTAATGCCTCGTTTTGTTTGAACAATTGCCTCTTGTTTCATGTACAGATGCCACAGTAACATTCTTCTCAGTGTTATCCATACTTTGTTATCCACACAGTCAAATGCCTTTGCACAGTTGTGTTAGGCCGGGTCGACTAGAGAAACAAATCCTGAGATGCTCATATATGTATAAGAAAGAGCTTTATATCAAAGAGTAATTGTATATTAAGAAAATGTCCCAGCCCAGTCCAGATCAAGTCCCTAAGTCCAATATTAGCCCCTAAGTTCCTCTTCTGACTCAGCACATGCAGTGATGCTGAATGCAGGAAGATCACAGGCTGGCGGGTGAAGAGTGTGGATCCAGTGGTGGTGGAAGCATCTCAGCACTGGTGCAGGTCTCCATGGGGCTCCTCCAGCCTTCTAAGTAACTCTTCCTTAACACGGCTCCACGTGGCTTGACAACAGGAGCATGAAAGGAGAGAGGGTATGGCCCATATCCAAGGAGAGAAAAAGGAAGTTCGCAGAATGCTCATGAGAAGGTCACGCCCACAAGAA